AATTATAATTTATAATTTATAAATTATTATTACTACTATTATTATAATTTATAAATTATAATAATTATAATTATAGTTATAATAATAATAATTATTATTATTATTATTTCTTACAAGTTTATAACTCAATAAAAATCCATTGATCCTGAATGAGCTAATTGATATAGCTTTTCTATAGAATTAATCGAATAATATGAATGACCAGGTGTTTACTACCATAGATGTAATATATCTGAAACCAGTTTTTGTAATATTCTTGACTTATGATGCCATTTTTAAATTAATTTTTATAATATACAAAGAAATTCGATATTCAATTTAATTGCATAGCTCAGCTTAGTTCAGTTTATCGCACATTTTGATTTAGTGTGCAATTAATTTATTAATTTATTTTTCCAAATTTGAAAATAGGCAAAAGTTCAGAAGACTGTAATGTATTTTAAAAACCTCAACTAAAACGCTGCTATATGTTAACTAGTGAAAATTAAAGGATTGCGGATTTTATCGATGATTCATATTAAAATCAATCACATCATCGAAAAAAGACGATACTCTGAATGACCGGAGAGTGACTGGAAATGAACGGAATGAATAGTCGGATAAGGTTGGACAGCGTTAAGGAAAATGGAAATTTACGTTCGAGAAAGTTATTAAACCAATTATCAGCACTTAATTTTCATTGAAGATTTGAATAGTGCATCATATTTTTCTATTTGTGCGATAAATATTTTTAGTGATAACGTCGAAATCTCTGCAATAGAAATGGACAGGCAGTGTGGGTTGTATTTATGTGACGTTTCGATTATTTTCTGCTCATCGTTTCGCCTCCTTTGTACCGCACACAGACATATCAATCAATTACACTTTAACCGACACCCGTTCGACCTTTGATAATACATTCTTCCACCACTAGTATTTCCTATCACTATCACTTTCTCTACTACTACTACTACTACTATTAGTATTACTAACTACTACTACTACTTTTATTACTATTATACTACTACTATTAACATTTCTGTTGATTTTGATATTGAAAAAGGATGGAAAGATTGGTGCAATCTATTTATAATATAATCATTGGTGTCGTGAAACAAGCAACTGGATAGTTCTTCATGCCTAGCAGTGCTCTCATCAACTTCACAAAATTCAAATCTGTGATTTTAATCTTCCTTCATTTTCAATTTGCTAATTCATTCCGTAATTAACTGAAAAGAACATTCGTTCTTGATATTATGCCAGCACCTTTTTTACTGAAACGAGATTGGCAAAAAGATCATGTGTACTTGGTACAGTTCCCTCGAGCAGGATGTATTCCGAGTTTATCAATGTTCGCCTTAAAATTGGAAACTTGGCTCCGGATAACTAAAATTCCATATTCGGTTAGACGAATTATCATCATTCAGTATCTTCTTATGAGGGATTTCGAATTTAAATTAGATGAGAGGAATTTAGATGAAATGGAACTGTGAAAACTCATCTGCACTCTGCCCTTTCACATTTTTAATTGTCTTTGATTATAGGGCTTGATATTACTATCAACTATAGTGATATTTTAATTTGTCGCTACAATGCTTCCTTTTGTTCATTTGTTCAGTAATGATGCATGCAAAATTTTTGATTGTTCTCGAAAAAATTTTGCAATGCAAAAACCGCTAATAATAAATGAATATATCTAGAAGATATTCGAAAGATTTGAAGATAATGGTTGATCAACATATAGCATCTCGAATGAGTAATTGTGCTTTGTAAGCAGAAATCAAACCTGCTTCCTTGCTTTGCTTTAAATAGTGTTTCAAGTTCAACTAAAGAGAAAATCCTTTTGGCAACATTACTTTAAAATTGCTTCATTTGTTAGATATTTTAAAATGAAAGAAATTGTTGAAAGGTTAACAAAAAGCTATTAGGATAACATTTTTTGCTAGACTAGTCTTTTTTTTTATACAATTGAGGAAATGGAACAATTACCGGATTTCACTGCTTTAGAAAGAATGATAATCCAATTCAGGAATATTAACATTTAGAAAGAAATAAACTGAGAAATATGAGTGGACGAATAGTATATTTGTATTTAATCATAATTTTATAGAATATCAGCAATGAATTCACTAAATTCTCATCCAAAAAACAAATTCCATTTATTGAACTGAATGGACGACAAATACCGGATAGTAATTATTGCATTGAACATCTTTCTCGAGTCTTCAAGGTGCATTTCTCATATAAACTGTTACATATAATATATATTAAAGTGTTATACCATCTTTTAAGTTATTCTCCAATATTTCCTTTCCGGTATATACAAAACAAGAATTAAGACTGATTTGATTGAATAATGATTTAAAGTTTTTCATATTCTTTCCGACTTTTAAATGACCATATAGTCAAAATGTCATTGCAGATTGATTTGGAAGAGCAGCTGAATCCAATGGAAAAAGCACAAGCTCGAGCCTTTACTTATCTGCTTGAGGAATCTATAAGATGGTACTTTATGAAAGTCGCACTTCAAAATTTCTTGAAACTAACAGTTCTTTTGAAGTTCATAAATCAATAATTCTCATAGATAGCAATTTTTTTGAAAATATTATTTTATAAAATTTCAAGTTTATTCTTTCCGATTGTTTTATTTCAACAGAGTGAGATATATTTAAAAAACGGTTTTTTTTGTCTTATAGTGATGAAAATATCCATAAGTTTTATTTACTACTATTAATTAAAGTTTCCTACCAGAAAGGAATTGTAAATAAGTGGTTACCTTAGGACTGAACAGGAAAGTAATTTGGAGCTAAGATAATCATCATTATCGTGACTAGAGATTATCAGGGATAATGTATGTTCATATTTCCAACAATATTTTTCAATGTTGTGTTATAGGATCATACTGTATAATCGTGGCAAAAACAATAAATTCTTGGCAACAGAAGAAGGTTTCATTAGGCACTTCAGAGGTGCTAAAAAAGCTATTTTCCAATATGTGTTTGTCGAAAAATTTCGGAAAAAGGTATCTGAAATTGGCAATTAATTGTTTGCTTGTTTACCAATGACAATATAATATGACAATATGATGGGCACTAATATGACAATATAACTAATATGACAATATGATGTTGCCTAAGATGCTCAAACACTGAATTAAAGTAATAATTCGTTTTCATTTACTATAGTGGAAACCGAGACGATAGGGAGATATCTTATAGATTTGGAAATTATGCTATTGGCAAGGAATTGGCAGGCATACAATTGATGAAGTGGAAAGCATTGCAAAAAAAGATTTAACAGCGTTATCCGTTTTTCTTGGTGATAAGCAGTATTTTTTTGGTTTTGCACCTACTACGGCAAGTTCCTTTTTGAAAACTAATTAAACCATCGAAATCTCATTAAATATATCTCATGTTCTATTAATTATTACAAATAAAAAAGTGTATAAGATAAACATTACAAACTTTGGGGCTGCTTAGTTTTAAAATTAATATCAACACTTGTTTTGGAATTATTTTTTGTATCTGATCTGACGCACTAGCAATTCAGCAAATCAACGAAACTATTTATTCAGTAGCATCCGTGAGAATAATTTCAGCTGGATGCGATTGCTTTCGGTAATTTAGCCCAACTACTTTATACGCCGATGGATAGTGATGTTTTACGGAAATATATGGAAGAAAACACTCCAAATTTAGTATCATTCATTCAACAAATGCGTGAAATATATTGGCAAGATTGGGATGAAGCTTGTGAAACATTATCTCTTAATACTCGAAATGTTTGTAGTAATGTCAAAAAATGACTGTAGCAACAGTTAGTATTGTATTTAAGCTAGCATTTATTTATTACTTATAATTAAACTTGTTTGCTAAATACAAATATTTATTGAGCAATAATATATAAAAGAATATTAAGAAAGAATTATGATTGAAAAGAACTTGAGACGTACTCCGTTGGGAAGCTGTAGTCACAATGTCTCGGCTTTAGGTGATTATTAAAGGTAGAAAAAAGACCGAATTATAAACCTTTGATAACAAATGATTATACTAGTCATATAACACAGTCTTTCCTAGGAAATAAGCTGAGATAGATGAAAAAATGGAATAGGGGCTTTTGTGTAAAATGGACGGCAACAGCTTTTCGGAAGGTATGCGAATATGAACATTCAGAAGTTAATAATAACATCAGCAAAAATCGTTGATCGATCAATTACTAATCCTTTTTTGTTTTTGTCAATTACATTAAAATTCTCTGTGTTTTTTCAAGCATTTAAAAGGTTGACTGCTTCATCGTTTTTAGCATCAATACTAGTCTCATCTTCTCCCATACTTATTGAAGCTTCAGGAATTACTGCAATTCAGAGCACTATTTTCATTTAAATATAAAGGTATATTCCTTACGGAATCACTCGCAATTACTATTTACTTACTGCTAACATCCGTCTTTATAGATAGTCAGAAGATCACACATGATATACAGAATTAGTAACTAGTACGATGCGTTTAAAAGTATCAAAATCCACAGGTTAATTTAGAACTTGGAGTAATCATTTAGTCTCATTCACTATCCCGACAACTCCAGATGCTTTCTCTAAGAATCTCATGTGAGCATCCATTCGTCGCCGCATGCAATGTCACTACTTCACTTGGCTTTCAATCCATGGCTCGTCCAAGTTATCCCAATTTAACCCATCCTACCCCTTCCCCTACTACCAAGCAGCCGCATTGAAATCTTCAATTTCAAATTACCGCTTCGGACGGCCTTTCCTGCAGGAGAGATCGCACTTTAGAATACATCTGAAATTTCGAGCTAACCTCACGAGATGCAGGGGTGGGGTCGGAGTTACGGTGGCGCGGAAGCAGTTTTCGATTTAATCAGGTGGATATCTGGTAGGCTAGAGAGTTTTTGCCCGAAGGATTCTTAAAGAGATAGAGAGAGAAGGGCCGAGCAAGCTGGGCCTATCGGCCAAGGATAAAGGGTAGGCCGCTGCTGCTAATTCTATTTGTAATTGGTTTATGCGGGGAATTAAACAGAGTTAGGAGAAGATTATATGTGAAGAAATTGTCGCTTTGATATTTACAGGGATCGAAGATGGGACTAACGGAAGAAAGACATCGGTGGTCTCAAAAGCTCGAGAATGTGTTGGAGGATCGTGACGCTTTGGAAGCGTTCAAGAAGTGGATGAAGAATGAGTCATCATTAGCCGAACATCCCATCAACTTGCACTTTGCCATAATAGCTTACAAGTAAGTGCCATTCATAAGTTTATATGCCTTATCAACCTGTAGCGTTGATACGGCGAAGACTTTACAGATCGAACATGTCGCAGGTTATAAGTTCTTCATAAAAGCATCCTCTCTCTTCAGCCTAACATAATGCTGAAGACATTTTTACTAGAGAATCAATTTTACATATTGGCAACCTATACTGTGGTATAATAAGAAATGCAATTTCCGTAGTCACAAGGAGATAGTCAGATGTTTATACCGAGTGTTTATACGTTTTTTTTTTTCTATTTATGACTTAATCTCATGCTGTTTGAAATATTTAAGAAATATGTGTACGATGAAGAATGCTCGTGCTGCAGAACTTGCGCGTAGTTTGCATCAGAAATATATCAGTTTAAAAACCGGTGTTTGTTCGTTTTTGCATGAGGTACCCCACTTTTGCTGAGTTTTTTTTTCAGTCAAATAATTTTTTAATTCTACTGTCACTGATTATTAGACTGGCAAAAAAAGTAATTCGTATGGAATAATGGAATATTAATTAGCATTGTTGAAAGTTCGAATAATTCTGTGGGGGAGAGAAATCAGTTGATATTGTGGTTTCTAGTATTTTAGGATCTTCGACGAGAAGTGAGCTTTCGAGTTCATGCTTTTTCGGCTGGTGAGCCGGATCCGACAGTATTTGACTGTGTAGTTCTACCGGTAGAGCAATATTTGCGACAGCAACATGCTCAGTTTGTTTCTTCTGAAGAGTTTATTGATGCTTACAATCGAATAGAGGAATATACACCGAAACCACCCCGTATTCCTTCTTCACTAACGTCAAGTCGCAAGCAACGGAAATCATATCCTTGTCAACCAATTCTTACTGCCGAAATGTTGCTGAAAACACAATATGAACGGGAAACCACATTAGGTGAAAGGTTGGATTTCAAATAATTTTTTTTTTCAACTAACCAGAATAAGTAGTGCTGTCATGTTATAAAATTTGGATTTTCATCAGTAATATTTCTGCTCATATGTCTTTGACTATGTAGTACCTTTTCTGTCTCTATAGAGTGCTGTTTGAAACTAATTAGGATCTCTGATTTTTGTTGCAGTGAAGTAGAGAAATTATATCGGCCAGTAATGAAAGCACCATACATATGCAATGCAACAACTAGTAAAAACGATTCTGCAGTATCGTCTACTTTTTCAAGTGATGCTAACGGTCAACATCCCGCTTTAAAATTAAGTACAATTCGGGAAGAGCAGCTAAAAGGCAATCCAGCTACGCATACATTAGCGGTATCTTAAAGTATAGCTTATTTTGATTTTTGGAGCTTCAAGAAGAAACTTGATTACACTTTGAACGTGAAAAATCAAATCTGCGTCAGCTATGAGATGCTCTTGAATTCCTAAGTACGATTTCTTTTCTGTTAATTCTGTACTTATGAAAGATAAGCAGGAAGTAATCATGAATAATGTTAGAGGGTGGAGAAAGTTGATGGTGGACCAATGGTCACTCACTGTACAGAGGAAGGTCGACGAGCTTTTGCTGCACTTCTAATCGAAAAACTGAGCGTTTTAAGTGCCCGTCGGAAGAGAAATGATGTTATGAGCCAGCAGCTTCGTGCCATTGAGGTGAACTGCAACTGTTTCCGCACAAAGTATTAGTGATTTAACAAAAATTCATCTTTTTTTCTCTTGCATTTTTCTAAATTATTTAAATAAACTGACTGCTAATGTTTTCTGCAGAGTCGTAAGTGCTCGGCACGCGAAGTTGTGAATGACGTTGAACCAACAGCTGCTGAAGAAGACGATGAACTGGAACGATATGTACGGCAAAGGATGGCTGATGATTCTAGTAAACCATCACCCTCGTATCATTCTCCTGACTTCCTGAATGCTCAGTCACTTCGTTTTCGACGACGATCACCGAGTAAACTTATCCGAAATTTTAGTTAAATATTCCTAAAACATAGAATTAGTTATATTGAAATTTAGCACTGTTTTTTTGCAATTTCTAATGTTTGTGTCAATAATGCATCCTTTACAGCAAATTTCTGAATTCTATATTTTTAGGATCAAGTTCACCAGAACGCTTTCGACACTACGTGGCTTCACCCATAGCTAATGTATTTCATGCACCGAATCCCTACAGCACAAATGGCTTTGCGCCGCCACCAATTAGTCGACACAATCGAATGACAAATATTAATCCTGTTATACTGAAGGGAGCGCGGTAAGCTAGTTGTAGAAATTTATCGATAAATTTTCATTTACTTACCTTCATATTCGTAAGAAATGATAAGGACCTGGTATTTGCTTTACATATGCAATTTTTCTGTCATTGTTAATTGTACACTGTATGCAAAAATGGTTATTATATTCTTGTGTAGGTCTGTTACTTTTTTGATGATAAAATCTGCAGTATTTGGTAAGAAGAACCGGTTCGAAACTGATAAGTATGCTTATGTCTTTCCACTGACGAAATTGGATGACTTATGCAAGAAAGACTGTGTGAGGTATTGAACTAGTTAAGTAGAATTTGTTATTTGAATTTCATTTATGTTGAATATAATTTCCAGGTAGAAAATGAAATGGTTGTCTACTGATTCTATTTCTAGATGTGACATGAAGTCTATGGCTATTTATGATACATCGGGTATCGAATCGATGGCTCCATCATCTGTAAGTGAACGTGATGAAGCAGCACGTGCTGCTATCTTTCAAAAGGCTCGTATGCTTTCATATGGTGGTTGTGCAAGCAGCAGTAGTTTTGGCCGTAGAAGCAGCCATAAACAACATCACGATTTCAGTTCATTGTCGTGAGTTGGCCGTTATTGTAGCATTTGAAGATATTGCTTCTATTAATCACTGTTCTTGCACTTTAGTTTTTTGATTTCAGTTGTACTTGCTTCATTTTCTATGCTGCAAGTTTCTGATTATTCCTTAGGCGTTCACGTGGAGGAACGGATCCGAAACAGCTGATGACTATTAGTTACAAAGAGAAAGGTCGTGTGCCGGTGGTTGCGCATGTTCCAACACATTCGATCACATTTCGAGAATTTCGTAAATACTTAGGAATTTCATCAAAGTCAAGTTTGCAGTTAGTTTTTTTCACACAAATGTTAAATCCACGTTTTTAAATTCATTAAATGCAAGGAATCCTGCTACCTCAGTATATATTTTGTTGCATAAGCTTTTTGAAATACTTTTGAAGCACATTCAGTTTTCATTGCTTCATTCATTCCAGATTTTATTTCAAGACTGCCTGTGAAGATGGTAATTCACCGTATCAGTTGCTCCTTGTGAACGACGATGCCACAGTATTACCAGTATATGAAGGTCGCATAACTGCTGAATGCAAGTCAGTCTCTGATTCCGAATAGAAATCTCTTCGCGTGTCTGTTTGTCTATAATGGAATATTAACTGTCAGGGTCTTTAATAATTCTTTGAAACACTTATTTTCCCTAGGTATTGAATGTAAATCTCGCACTCTTGAAGGTTAACAGTTGTTACTTTAAATAAAGAAATTACGAAGTTTTTCCTCCATCTTTTATAGAAATTCACGTTAGATTTTCTCCCTGAAAATTGATATGAAATTTTACAATTACCCTTTACTTAAATCCGAACAATTGCTTGCTTCTTCATTTGCTTCGTTAGCTATTTCTTCATTTCTGCATTTGCTTTATTTCTTTATCGTAGCAGTATGTCTTCATTGTTTATTTATCATTTTCTTATCCCATCCCTTGTTGTTTGCTTAACTTTGTTTAAATTATTACTGTAAGCTACGGAATTGCAGTTAATAGTCGATAAATTTGAGGAAAATTTGATTTTTTGCTTCAAATGGATATTTTTTGTGTTGAACGTTCTGTTAAAGGTATTTTTAAACAACTGGGCTTTCCATGTTCTGTAGCTGTTTTCGTTCGTTTATTATTTTTGGAATTTGTACGAAATATTCTTTTTTGGTTATTGCATATGTCTTTGAAGCATAGGACTTTCAGATTTATTAATTTCACAACAATAGAATTTTATAGAATTGTTTTGTGGTTACGTGTCGTCGGAGTACATTTGCGATGATTCACGGTCCTTATTTTGTGCTATGCTATAATTGCATTATACTGCTAATTCTGAAAGCTCACCATAAGTATATATATTGTCATACAAAAATTTATTTCCAGATGTATTTGCCTTTTGCACTTGCATTTTGTGTATGCTTGTGGCAACTTTTATCTTGATAAGTAAGTTGCTGGTCTTTTCGTTAGATTTCTGTGTTTTTTGCGTTTGTTTTGCATTACCGCTTCAATATGATTTCGTTTTCCTTTTCTTCAGTTAATATTTTTGTGAATTTTAATATACTGTGATCTGGGGATTTTGTTATATTTGTTTTTCACATTTTCACGCAGCAGTGCATCCTTTCGCAATCCGCCCATGGCACAATTCGGTTTGTTTTCACTTTGTTTTGTTTTGTTCGCCGTAAAGGAGATTGCTGTTGAAATGTTGTACATTTGTCATTATTTATAGCTGCTTTAATTTTTCCTTTGCTTCAAATAAAATGCTTACAAAAAAGGTTTCTTGATGTTTAATTAATTTTGTATTATATTTTAACAAAACGCATTAAATGCTTATTGAAATTTATGCTATAAGCATAATCATGTAGGATCTGTAAAATTATGCTGAAGCAAGTATTCGTATAATAATATAAGCTTAGAGGCAGGCTTTGCCATTGCTCGTTAATATGATGATTTATTTAACAAATGAAGTAGGGACAATGTTAGAGAGATATAGCATTAAACTTTTGTAAATTCTTGGTTCTAGAGGCTTTTTCAATTAATCAAAAAATAGATTTGGGGAGCTCATTATCTTGTGACAGGTTTTGTTTGTTATATTCTGTGATTGTATTTGCTTGACATACTTGTGAAGTTGGGAGGTTGGGAGAGCGGGTGAGTCTGTCATGTGGCTCAGAGAATCCAAAGCAAGTGTTATTTCAGGAAATGAATAAAGAAGTTAATATTAGTGAGAATTTTTTGGATGGGCATGATAATGAAGAAATCAAAGAAATCCAGGAAAGAGAAGAAATTGTTAAAATGTGGAAACATATGGACGAGAAGTTGGAAATGAAAGCAAAATCACTTAACCTTACAGCTATTAATGTCAAGTCCATATTGCACGTAAATTTTTTTTCAACGTCTGACATTTGAAGAAATAATTCTTAGTGAACTAATAGAGGGGCGATAATTTAAGTTAGAAAGACTCGCATTATTTTTGAATAATTTGAATTAATGTATACCAAAGTTCCATTGTTTTAGAATTTTTGAAACAGAAATTTTATCACTTTTGAAATTATATTGTTTTACAGCATATGATAAAAAATCCGCAAGTGATATCTGTTATCATGGGATTGGATGAAAGCTCTTCAATTGCAGACCTGAAGTTGACGAGGTCAAGAACAAAACATTTATCCAAACAGGAAACGGTAAGTCGTGCAATGAGAATTAATTAGTAAATATTGATCATTTTTTATTTTTTTCAGCCAACTTCATTTGAAATTCTTGTCAGTATTTGTTCCTATTATTCAGATTTTTTTTATTCAAATCAATGAATTTTTTGTAGCACATCGGTCTGAGAGAAGAAGGTGTTGTGACTGTATCTCGTGCTTCACGAACTTTTCTTGATATTGACTATGATTCCAATGAAGAAGATGATGATGATTATCTCCCTGAACAGGTACAGTATGTTATTTCTTCGAAAGTTTTCTGTGACCAGAATTTCAAGGTTTTATTTTGACTTTGGTTTTCTGATTAAAAAAATATAATGAAGGCAATTGATAGACTATGCAATTACCATTTTTATGAAGTTTTATATACATCTCTAATTTCGTTTGTGCTTTCAGGATGAGGATGCGAGTGAAGCAGAAGTAGAAAATGAAGCAGACACTACAGAAATTTCGTTTGGAAATTTGAATAATACTCTTCAGGTGTACTTTATTCATCTCTTTACATTAGATTCGAAAATTCCAAATGAAGAAAAGGCTTTAATATAATTAAAGAAACATATGAAATAGTACAAGTAATTCGTCGTTTCAGGCAAAAATTGGTAATGATGATGTAGCACCCGCACTACATACACGCTCAAAACATGAAAGTAACGTTTATCCAGATGCACCAAACTTTGGAGATGATGTTTTATTGTATACTGCAGTGGATGATCCAGAATATGTGGACTTCATTTCAAATTTGAATGATCCTTCAAAATATGATCTTGATGGTATTTGTTTATTGTTTGTCGTTTTGAATGACTATGCTTCTCACCCCTCTTACTGGAACCATGATGTCTGCATTTGTGAATGAGATGTTTCAGAGGCGGAGGATCCTGAATATAATTTTCTTTTGGATGCAGATGCCGAAGATATAATAGAAGAGTACGAAGTACGGAGAGATCGCGCCACAGAAATACCTCGTAAGTACCTCAGTTTTGTTCGCAGGCTATATATTACCGTGCATTTTGTTGTAAAGAGTTAATTACCAAATTTGAATGATTTTTTCTGCAGTGCGAGAAGTTGAAAACTTGTTGCAAGACTTGTTGGAGGCCCGCCTGTTGCCTTCACCTGAGCACTTGGAACAAACCATCGATTCCGTGAAGGTGATTTTTAAAATATTTTTTCAAATGAAATTAAAAATTAATGTTGATCATCCGATCTTTACTGCCCCATGGTATCTTTATTTAAGGCGATAATTTCGGGTATAGCTAAAAATCATTCCCAAAAATTCAGACAATGTCCAGCTAGATTGAATTGATTCTCTCTTCACTATGTGTTGAATGTTTAAAGTGAGCTGCTGTGAAAGTGATATTTTTTTTATTCAGGATGAAAATAAATCATGTCAGTCAGTTAAGCAGGATGACCATAAGCTGAATATGAAGAAGACCAAAACAATGCTTACGGAATCTTTGCCAGAAAATATTGAACCGGTCACCATCCTTGTAGATGCATCTCTAGATGATTTTCAGAAAGTTTCGACAGCTTCTTTATCTCTTTTATGTACCAGTGTTGAAAATCCTCCTTTTTTTTCGTTTTATGAACTTCAACAGCTTATCGCTCAATTAGAAAAAGTAAGTGCTAGACTCCATCTTTTTCTCTGATCTCTTAGTTTAGGCCGTATTCAATGTTTCAGGGCATCTATAAATTTCTGCTTTTTTTGATGAAAGGATTTATCTAATAAAGTCAAATCTTTTTCATTTATTTTATACTTACAGTCTCGCAAAATATGAAAACTAACATCTTTGTGTTTTATATTTTTACTGAAGTTTGGAAATATTGCCAGTGAATTTTTTTGGCTAATTATTGTGCATATGGAAGATTGTGATATTTTTAGCATGTACAACTTCTAACTCAGTTTGCAGTGGGTTGTTATTTCGATAAAGCAATGATTAAAATATATAATGCTTTTCAAGTTATGATTGTAAGTTCCAGATTTTTCATAATAGGTTTCGAAACTCTCTATTTGATAAGAAACCAATACAAACCAAATTTTTCATGCATTTTGATGAGTTTCACAGCTTATGCAGTGACAATCTAGAGATTATTTTCATGTATATGAAAATATGTATACAAAACATGTATACAAAACTTGCTCCTTATGGCATCTGTTGTATTGCAGAACGAGCTAAACGATTACTCTTTGGAGCGTCCGGAACATTCTCTATTTAATGTTGCAAATTTGGAAGCTTGTATAGCGACGTGTCACGATGCGATAGAATGTGAAACTATTAATGATTTCATTATCCATCGGCAAAAATCCAGGAAATGTGCGTTGAGTTTTTGGCCAGCTAGTAGATTTTTGAGGAATCTGTGTGGGCATTGCGGAGAAAAGTAGAGGTAGAGATAATTTATTTCGTCATATTTTGAATTTTTAGTGGAGTTCCCGCTACCAAAAACGATGTTGGTTCTTTCTCGAAGTAAAGCGCTGCTATTTCCTGAATTACTACCACAAGTATGACTTTTTTGCTTTTTTAAATAAAGGACTCTGTGCACAGGAAAATAGAAGTCTTCTGTTTGCCATAAGAAGATTACATTTACATTTAGGTTCGTATGAAGATGTTCCCTTCATTTTATCCATATTTTGTCCGAGAGGAAGAGTGCCTACTAGCTCTTGGTTTGTATCAGTTCTCTCATTTAAAGCAATTTTCTGGGAAAGGAAAACGTTATGCATTGATCAATCAGCATCTACTGGCAAATAAAACACAATCACAAATACGGCTGCATTTGAAGAATTTTCGTTGTAGCAACCAACCTGTACACACACTTTTCGTGGTAAGAATATCGTTTTTACTTGAAGTTGAAAAAATGTTTTAAGGATGTCTTCTGCAGAACTGTTGATTCTTTAAACAGTGTAGAAGTGAGAATTTTTATACAAAGCTTTAGCGAAGTTTTTTTTCAGAAAGCTGAAACAGGAATAATAAATATGATTTTTCCTCTAGAAAACAGATCGACCGCAACTTCTGGTCCGCCGTATTTATGGCCACAGCATCTTCAGCCCAGATGGCTTAAGGTTCCTTTATGTGAAATAATTTTAAATCTTGAGGTCTGCGATGTTCAGTAGTGATTAGTATTTTACTGAATTGAAATAATAACATTTGAATTTTATTATAGGAACTAGTCGACAGACAACAGTATGATTTAGATTGTGAAAATCTTGCACTGGATGGTTTGACTTTTGTGAAGATCATTGATGAAAAAGATTCTCCATCAATGGTAAGATGTCTTTTGCTGTGATGTCCTGGAATAATTTGTGTTAACTAATTGTTTAGATCAGATTTCTACTGTTCGTTAATTTGGATTTTTTGGCATCAGCAGCCGAAATTTTTCCAAATTTATTTCAGTTGATTTCCCCCAACTGTTCTTTTATGGTTGTCTTTCCAGGATCGTCCAGATTCAGATCTTTCGAACAGTCTTTCTGAATGTCATACAGTAGATGCAGGGAATTGGACTTTTGATAGAGGTGTAGCGTCTACTCTGATCGCTTCGGATACCGACAACAGTGGATGTGTTCGTAACAATGGACCAATGAACACTGTCTTTGCATCCGTCGATAGTGGTATGAATTTTTGCATTCCTCAATATCACAAAAAGTGCAATTGCGCGAATCTGCAAACATGATAAATGTTATCAGCTTAGTCGTTATACATAAGTACTTCTTCCAGATCATACTGAAATAAATGGAATTCCATCTTCACCTGTTCGCAATCTTTTGCTTTTTTCCTCCACTCCAATATGTGAAGTAACGAGTTCATCACTCTCAGACTCACATCATTCGATAGTTATTTCGCCTGTGAATAGGAGATTACTACCAACCTCGCATCGATCAGCAGTTATGTCAGTTAGGCACAGTAGATTATCACCAAACTCATGTTCTTTGATAGCTACATCGCCATTAAATGAGAAGTCGTCGTCATCGGTTTCTCCTCATTCAACAATTGTGTCACCTGCTAATATGGAATTTCTAACATCTTATTCACAATGTTCAACACTCATATCGTCTACGAATCGTATTTGTTTGTTTGTAAAGTGTTTTATTAAAACTCATTAAGTTCACGATGAACTGTCGTCATCTCTCTGATCAGAATCTTATCAGATCAGTTAAGCATTCTTTTTTTGAGAGAGAATTAAGAAAGTAATAATAATTTGTTGTATGAAACTAATAAATTCTCTGCCTTACTTTTTGCAGAACCAGCAGATCTTGTCAGAAACACCAGTACGATCAAGCCAGTAAGACTCGCACCATTCAAAAAGATGCCACCGACTGGAAAATTAAATGTGAATGAATGCGAAGAAAGTGTTGATTCGGATCAATATGAGATTGAAATGATTGATGAAACTGAAGAAAGCATGGGATCAAGTGCCTCGGATAAAGAAGACATAATGGGTTCATCACCCTCGCCAGACTTCAACAATTCGATTTGTTTACAACAATCGTGGGGAAGAATAGAATGTGACACCAATGATGACGCCTCGTCGCATTTTAGTACCACTGATTTTGACTGTGCATGGTCTGAAGCTGATACACAACATGAAGATTTCCAGATGGAATATGGCATTTCACCATGTTCTTCTGCTACGGTTGCTGAAAAAACTAGAGAAATTTATGGCAGGAAGTATTTCACAGAAGGTATTTTGAAACCTTTTCTTTTATCTGTTGGTTGTGTTCAAAATTCATAATTGCGGTTTCTCTTTTATCATTTCGAAAACTATGACAAATTGTACACTTGTTGGGAATTTCATAAAATTGCCCCTCTGATAAATTTTAGTTGATCGCGAGCGCTGTCAAGAAACTCGACACATATGTCAAAGGTCATTTCACTCACTGTGTCCTGGTGCAGAAATTTCCTGTGACATGCTTGAATGTTCCTCACTGATATACAAATCATGTAATCAACATACTAATATAATGATTTAAAAATGTACAAAAGTAGATTTGACTTTGGTTCAGATTTGCGATACTATCATCACTTCGATGGGAAGGTAGGAAAAGATGTAACCTTGGCATCCAATAGCAGGGTTTTTCTATAAAATCGCTTATGTGCTGGCTGGTCTATTTAGTTAATTACAGTTAGCTTGTTATTCACTTGAAAATTATTTATGACTTTTTCAGCAAAGTGGGTTCCGAATACTCCGAGTGGGGATATTGAACATTCTGATCTAGTAAGGTATGATTAAAATCGTTTATTTTTGTGTTATATGATTAGAATTGTAAAAAACAAACTTTTCAGGAAATATTTTGCAAATGGACTTTTGGATTTTGAAAAATTTCAGATGGACACCAGTGAGTTCGTCGTGCTGCAGCAGTCATCTGGTATTCAGCACGGAAAATAAAGCTATTCAATGTGATCTTATAACTTCCAATGGTGATAGTGATGCTACTCGAATCTTAGGGAACATCAAGGATAACATAATAACTCAAGATATCCCACGTGATTTAACAGCTAACTCTATTCGAGTGTTTGAATCTTTTTGCTGCAGTGATCCCTCTTTTGCGCAGGATAATGAAGAAGTTGGTGGAGCAAAACAGACACAGAATGAGCAGACAGTATCGAATGACGAAAGTCGGAGTAATAGAAATGTTAGAGATGGACAGCAGCTACCGACTGGTGCAGCAGATGGTAGTAAATCATCATTACCGGGTGATCAAGAAGTATGTTTTCATTTTGAACTGGTTATTTCATTGATGCTTTGTTTTGCTTAATTTATATCTCAAAACAATGCAGGAAAGACATGTTCTGTTAAAGTAACTGTGATTTGATTCGGAAATAATCTTGCAATATAGTTATTCTATATTGTATTTATTTTTTTACGTGATTTTTAGGGCGATGGTAGTGATGGTGAAGGAAATGGACCTATAGATGAAGAAAAACGACGGAGACGCGTACGCACTCGCAAAGATCGTGTAAGAGATGGATTGCATGGGATGCTTGATGCACAGCATCGTGCACTTCAAATAAAGTGTATGGCGCATGTCATTTTTAATGATTTTGAACAACGTATGTTCATGTATCAAGATAAAGTAAGAGCTCTTTGCGAGTTGATCGCTGAAGACTCGATGTCTCCGGAAGTAAGCAACCTTCATTTTATTTCTTTTACGAAATATTTTTGTTTTATGATGTAAGTCGATGAAATTTCATTTCTCGAAATGAAGTGAATTTCAGATGTTCGAAAGAATGCATGGTATTTTCGAAGAGGAACATGAACCGATATATTTTCTTCTCTCTTTTCTCTTTCCACAAAATTTGCTTCCAGCGAGCGTCCTTGATAACCCGATTCGTAAAGCATATAACGATGCCTTTGAGATGATATACAATATCGAGGTTTGTTTTTTGAAGTATAAGTGAGTACTTTCTATAATTATACATTTGAATTATTGTAAGCTTTAATAGAGAATGAGTGGAATAGAGTATTTGAAATCTGCTTTGTGAACTTTTTTGGAAAAGATACCGATTATTGCAACCAATTAATCAAATATTCTTGAGAAATCTTGAACTTCTGCTGCCAAGAAAGAATTTGAAAATTATTTTATTCTTATCAAATATAGTTGAAATTACGTTTTTATTCTTATTTGTTATCTTCTTTTTCATCTACCAAATCTTTTCTTACAGGCATTCACATCTTTTGGAAACACGAGGTTATCTGCGCGTACTATATTTCGCAACGTACGTGATCTCGGTTAGAAAGGTTTTTGTCCTGTTGTGTTAACTACTAATCCTTTCATTAAGATACTTTGTTCATTTGGAAAATCTGATATTTCACCAGTTGCTTTAGTTGAGCGGTGAAAGAGAATTATTTTCAAGAAAATGTGATAATATAGATTCAAAGTTTTTCACATACACAACAACTTCGTTAGCATACTTCAAATTTAGCTTTGTTCTTTTTTATGTTGAGGCTTGCATATTTTTGAATCAATTAGGAATTAATTTTCAGGATTCGATTGTACGTGTGAAGCCTTAACAACTCGTTTGTTCGAATTGATTGGTAATAAGGGCCCGTTATGGGAAATAATTTCACAAAATATTCCAACTCGTATTTGTCAATCGAAGTAATTTCAGTGCGATTATTTTATTCAGTTTGCCGCTATTATCGTTATTTGCCGTTATTTGTCGGTTCTTTCTTGCTTAAATCAGCAGGAGCATGCGGTATCAGTAATTTGTCAGCATGTCTGAATGCACTACTCTGATGAAAGTCATTGGTTATTTCAAGTCTGTGATTGAAATTTCAGAGCATCTTGAAGTATAGATGTAGTAATGTTTAAATAAATTTCAGTTATTCCATAACGGATTTTGAATATGTTGATTTGTGCAGTTGGAAGAAAGTGGAAGCCGCTTTTGAAAATGTTGATCTTACGACAGCGATTGGTGCTCAAACAGAAAAACAGCGTTCCGGAGTTTTTGTTGGCTTCTTACGCAATCTCTTTACTGAGCGGAAGTGATTTTTTCTAATGAACTATTAATGCATTTTATTATAGCGTTTATATCGGTAATGTCGTAATGTCTCAATTTTTTTTAAAGCTAAGCTGCAGTATTTTTGCATAAGTAAAACGAATGCAGGAAAGTTGAGGTAGTGTATTTCAATTCAGGAATTTTAGTTCATATTTCGTTTTTTCTAACTTGATTTAAATCTAACATATTTTAGAGGCAAGTTGTACGAAGTTGTAGCGGAATGGAAACAAACGAAAATTACTCCGCCAGCCCCTCCACGCCGCCGACTTCCAACAAGAAAAGCAAAAAAGCGTAAATACAAAGCGTCGAATAAAGTAGAGATTGCGAAATTATCGAAAACGTCAGTTAAAATGCCAGATATTAGTTGTCCATCTCTACAAGAGCGAACAGCTGATATTTTGAGCATTATCTCTCCAAGAAAGAATGCTGCAACTTTACAGTTTGTTCGGAAACGGCCCATTCAGCCGACAAAAGTAGCTGAAACGAAAAAAAGGCAGAAAACATGCGAAGAAATCTTAGTGAAACAATATTTTTATGAAGAATGATGATACCAGTTTAGCCAAGATAAATTATACCGCTGATTCCGGTGCATGGTGCTGATGTTTCGCTGGAAAATGTTGTAGAATGTAGAATCGTAAAGGTTGAATTAGCTGTCAGTCATGCAAAATTGGCTTTAGAGAAGGATTTGACTAATGCAGAATGCCTTATGACAAATCCAAATGGACGATCGAAGAAGACCGAAAAATCTTAAATATCGATAAGGAAAACAAGTTTGACTTAGGTCTTACACCTACAGCAGTACAATTAGAATTACCTGAAATTCTTGTTGATAAATTAAGGTAAAGGTTAGCATTTTTGCTAGGCTTTCTGCAGCGTATGGAAGATACTAATAGCAAACGGAATGAGAAAGCTGACGATTTGGTTTATTCTTTATCATCATCTTCCTCATCGACACGGTTCGCGAAATCGTGATTGTTAGGATAATTTGAAGCTTGATTGACAAATAAGACTTCCGAAGTTTTTTTATATCTCGATTTCCTGTACATCCTTATATTGATCTCATTTTCACTTCTTTTCCCTGTACCGGTAATTAGCGAATTTATCCAGTGCACGGAATGAGTGCCTTTTACATTAGCTAGTATAAAGTATCCATTGCAGATAGATTTATATTCACTTGTTTTTCAGGAAAAGTAGCATGACTTGTGGTAAAATGTTTGCATTTTGAAAAGTCCAGTTAGTTTTCTTTTTTCCAAAATAGTTAATTAGAATATTACAAAAATATTCACTTCGGTAACTTAATAACTTAATCTTGTAATGTTGACATAATTGCAAAGAACATATACATAACATACGCAGAGGAATTTTTGATTTGCAGTGATTAGCGTACTAACTTGACATTTAAACCCTCATATTTAGGATATTTTACGTATTTCGTTTACTTGTGTTGTTACGTCTGTATTCCAGAAATTAAATATTTTGATAGTCTATTTTAAAATTGTGAAAGATACTACTGTTTTTTTCCTGAACAACAGCATGTATCGAACTGCCGTCTTTGTAAAAGGAAGTTGCGACTAGCTGTATGGCATGTGACATAGACGGCAGGAGAAATTGAAGATTTTTTATGAATTCTGCAGGATGTCGCTTTTCCTTTTCTTTCTTGCAAAAAACATGAAATGCAAATTCTTATAGAAAAGTAGTGCTGACAACTGTCACTGTTTTTTTTGCACTTTTTTCATCTGCCTATGACCACCCTGCGGTTCCTCATCTCTCTGTGGTTCGACATCATGTCTTCTTAAGCTGCTGGTTCTCCGAGGTGGACACGGGCAGTACATTGCGTCTTTCCCGGGCATTCCAGCAATACCAGGCTGGAATAAAGTGATAAATGCTAAAACTTGACCTCAACAGCTTAAGAAATATTAATATCGGAAAGAATTTGAAATTTGCTTACCTTGCCTGATTTCCCATCTTTCCCATCACGTCCGCTGGCACCAGGTCTACCATCTGGTCCCGATTCACCTTGTGGTCCAGTTTCTCCATCCCTACCGTCATCGCCTTTAGGACCTTCTGGTCCGCGTTGCCCAGTTGGTCCCTTCTTGCCTTGTGGTCCAGTCCCACGTTTGCCGTCCTTGCCATCTCGACCTGGATTTCCTTGTGGGCCGTCAGGTCCAATCTGGCCAACATCACCTTCTGGCCCCGGTAGACCTTTTGGACCTGCTTTGCCATCTTTTCCTGGCACACCAGGAGGACCTTTCGGTCCAGGTGGCCCCGTTGGACCTTCTGGTCCGGGTGATCCCGCTTTGCCGGGTGGACATTCGATGCAACCTCCTGGAATGTCGAAGGTTGCTAGCAAAGCAACTCCTGGCAGTCCAGGCATACCGTCTAGTCCCGGCAATCCATCCGCACCCTTCTCGCCCGGTTTACCGGGTGGTCCTGGTGGTCCTTCTGGACATCTCTGCGGTGAAGGCCCGCAATCTGAAAAAAGTTTCATCGAAATTCAAAAAATCGAAGGATTTCTTTTCAGGATTTAAGTGGCTTCGATGAAATTAGTAAAGTAATACAATTAGGAAGAAACTTACTGCACTGGTTATTCTGTCTTTTAGCTCGAAATACAGAGCCTAGCGTGAAAGTTGCTGTCTTCATAGCACTGTATGGATTTTCGTTCAGATACGTAATTTCACGCCATGTGTCCTCTGCTGTTGTCTAGACATACATGTTTTACTCAAATTAAATACTGAATTAAAACCATTTAGCTTGCTATAATATTTTCATAAAGTATTTTCGCCTCATTTTGCATATGATCTTGATAACTTACTCTAAATTCTTCCATCTCCACCATTACATTAGTGTATAAGTCATTAATGTCGTGGAAAATAAGTACAACGGCAGTTAGCGACAATAGAATAGCACAAGTACTACCGACTGTTGTCACAGCAAATACTGTTTTCATATTTTATTTACTCTGAAAAGGAAAAGAATGAAAAAAAGAGATTAATTTTAATAATTTTGAAGCAAAAAATGATGGAAGATTCATTAAATCTTGGAGCATCGATAGCCTGCAAATTTTACATTTTTAAAACTATTGCAGATGCTAAGAGCCAGGAAAATTTAAAAAACGAATCCTGATAAATAATAAGTCTCAGAAAATAAGGAGAAAACGGTTCAAAGATCGTTTGTGTACAATGTTTGAATGAAATGTTGAAAGTTTAGAATTCTAAAATTTTTCTTTAGAAATAAATGGCCGGAAAAATCGGAATTTTATAAGAGAACCTTCCAATGAGAATGTATAACCCTTCTAAATGCTACACTCAGAAGGACGAAGCATAAAATTCTGCTGCTATCTCAAATTGCGCTAAATTGTAAACTAAATCATAAAATTCTCAAGTTGCTAAATTGTTTTTGTCGTTTTATATTTATCAACTTGATGATTTAAAGTAGAAATCATTAACCTGAAACGGGCGCTTTTCACCATTAAAAATATGATGTTTTCAATTTCTTCCCATTATTATCAAATTTATAAATGCTGAAAATAGTAGTGAAACGAATGTGTGAGAGAAATTGTTGATCAGCTTGGAGAAAGAATTCATTGCCATCTTTAGCAGGTTCCTTATGAATGAAGAATTTTGAACATGAAATTATGAGACGGCAGTGCAATAATATATTTTGTAGACTTGTTTATGATTGAGTAAAGAGCATAATTAATGTGAAGCTTTTAATTCTATGAATGAAAAGTCTTGAAATAGTGTGAAAAGTTCTTGATTATATATAATAAGACAGCACAAGATGTACTACATCTTCGGTATGGGAATGCTATGCTTATAAGTTGTATGTTAAATTGATTGAAGTAGTAAGTTAAAAAATGGTCTGAAGGATATTTGTGAATTCATTTATCGTAGCATTTAAGTTGTAATAAGCATCGCAAGCGCAATAAGGGGTTACAAATCAAATAATTGAAAATTAAAATTGCTTTCCATTTCTTTGCATGAATGCAAAAAATGATGGTATAAAGATTGATTTAAATGTTGCAAAAAGAAATTTTTATTTGCAATTTGTTTTTATTTTATTTTGATTTAAATGTTGCAAAAAGAAAATTTTTTTTTTATTTATTGATAAAGCCAAAGCACTAAAAATTGTTGATAAAGCATTCTTAAACAATTTGTTCTGATAATCAGTGATATGAATAATGGTGAATATTTGTATCACTTCATTCAAATGATTGTTGGATTTATGAATTATATAGTAATCATAGAAAGAAAGGTATTAGTAAAGTGAATTTTTTGCGTGATTTATTTTATTAATGCGGTCTCAAAAAATACCTTCCAAAGTTGTAATTAAAACCAGGTAACTTTTCATTTAAAAAAAGGGAAAGAGTAATGGAATTTCTCCAACTAAAGTATAATTGTTACTGCTTATTCGTCTCTTGAAATTAGATTTTTTTGTTTTGTGGAATTTAATTTTCATTTTCCACTCATTTTTAAAAGAAAAATAAATTGAAGCAATGAATATTATGCAGTAATTACTAGAAGAAGGATCAAAATGGTTAATAATATGAGTTGCAATATCTTCCTATCAAAATGAAAAAATATTGATTACTAAGAGGAAGATTTGTACTGCTTATTGCCATGATTCGATCATATCGTCTTCATCATAGATGAGAGGCTACATTGTCCCATCCGTCCTGGTTAAGCAGTTATTTACTAATTACCCTGGCATTCTATTCTCGTTCGTTGGCTACATCATCCAGACTTATATCGTCTTGGTTATTTTCGAGATCTTATGATCGCAATTGCCATTTTGCTTACTGTCCAAATCAGATCTTTAGATTCCAGTGGTCACAGTAATATCCGAAAGATAATCGGTGTAAGCCAGAAATATTGTGAGCTATGAGGAAGAACGATAATTCCGCATATTCTCATTCTTCCAGCAATATAGCATTCATTTAATCTGTATTCTTACTGTAGATCTACCGTTTATTATATTTTTGTTTTTCCTTACATATTTTGAATAATTTTTAAAATTAAAATTTGCACGCTTTAATGGTTTCGAGTGGCTAATATAAAAAGAAATAAAAGGTGTTGTGAAAATCCCCACAAATTAATGCTTCTGACTAGATACTTCATATCATTTCAAATTTCTCAATTTGGACGAAGTTTTGATATATAGGACAGCTACGGAAATCAATTAGTCTTTTCTATAATTAGGCTAGAGAAAAAAATTCGGATCATTCTAATCTCATTGGAATGAAATCATTGGAATTTATTTTGTACATATATATTCATCAAGTTAAGGTTGTATATATACAATAATTATGTTTTGCAAAATTTGTGAAATGCATCATTCTATTTGTTAAGTTTTTAGTTATTGCATTTATAACGCTAATTGTGACATTACTTTCCTCATTTACTTTTCTAGATCAAATAACTGACTTCGAAATCGAATTCCTGAATTGCCATAAGTACCGACATAGCAGGACTGATAGATGGATTTAGACTGAGAGGATTGTTATTGAACGAAAATGGTTACGATTATTAAATATTTGGTGAGTTGATTAATAAAAGTAAATTATTTCTTAATTGTTCGATTTGTGCTTATAAGATCCGTATGATTTGAGATATTGCAAAGCAGTTACTTCAGGACTTCCAGTATCTGTGCTTATCAGCTCAGATAAAACCGGATTCTTTGCTGAACATAAGATTCATTGATGCTTGATAATGAGTAATTTAATATTAATCACCTATAGTTTTCAATGTTGTTTCTTAATTTCTCTCTATTATTTGACATAGGCCATTTCCCGTAAAGTATATCAACCGGATCTCTCCGACTCACAGTTAACCCACAACAGCAGACCGAGATGTCGTGGACATTCTAATAAGCCAGGCGCATATGGAATCCAGTTTTAACGATTTGTTTTAAAAACTCAACTTTTTCAAATTTTATCTTCAAATCCAGAAAGTCTATGATTCTCCAGTTCTGCGGATGATCACAGTTAAACCATGTTGTAATTTTGCCAAACTATCTTTTAAGATCTCTGCCAGTCTTCGTTTGCTATTTCACAGCCTTTTAAATAAGCAGTTCGAAATAACATTCTCTCAATTAGATTTCAGAAAATTAGATTGTCTGAACCTTGCGGATATCTAAGTTCAACCTGGGTTCAACCTAGATATCCGCAAGAGAACAGATCAGATATATAAAATAAAAAAACATGGCATTTAAGAATGCTTCTTTGAAGCAATCAAAAACCGTGAAACATGACGCTTATTTAAGATCCAGGATTTCAAAGTCTGTCCGGACTATTTGGATCACCTGAAGAGCCGAAATCGATTCTACATCCTATGCAGTTAATTTGATGGTAGTGACTTTCATGCTCATTTGATGGAAGTGCAAAGCTACTATTGCTGAGAAGAGTGTTCAGATACTCTTACTGTCACTGGAAATTGTGAGCTATATTAATTTGACAAAAACTCTGCCATAAAACAACCTGCAACAATTTTCCCCCAGTTATAAAACGACTCTCGAAGATAGCAAATTTGGAACGATATGGGCGGAAGGAGTGCAGGATAGAAACCTTTCTTACATGTAACTTCAGAAGGATAACTTTAGCTTAAGTTTTGCTGAAAATCAGTTAATCCTCATTTTTGTATTCCAAAAGGTAAAATTATTAGTAAAATGTTTATTTTGCGAGACATTAATATATAAATTACCATGAATGTGTACGTACAAATGTGAAACGAATAATCGGAGCAAAAAACTCTGTAAATACTTCTGCATACCAAAAAATTTCCATCCAAATTATAAAATCAGGCATTTTCAAACTAAATTGTTTCTGAAAAAAGAACTGCATTAAAATTTTAAACAAATACGAGAATAACAGCGTTTCATGAGGACACACTGCTGGTATTAGTATTCTCATCAATGTTTTCTTTACAGTAGACATTTTCTGAACTTCATTCAGAAAAACATATTTTTAGTAATTCGAATCAGTTCTAACACCCTGAGGATTCTGAGAAGTAAGAAAATATGCTTAATAAAGAGAAATAAGAAAAGTTCGACTGGGATACCACTCAAGCATAACATGGATTTCAGAATTTCAGGTAATTCACTTGCGAAATTTTCACTAATGATTTCGTTAGCCGCGGATAATATTCACTAAAATGTTATATTTAAATTTTGAGGAAGGAATACCCACAAATAAAAGAAATAAAAATATTGCTCATCGGTTTTTCTTCCTTACCTTGAATAAAGAATTATTAAGATTTAATCTTTAAAATTTAAAGAGCTTAAATTTCCAGCAACTGCTTCCAAATTTTCAGGTGCGTCTTGCTTCATACTTGTATTCGGTTGAATGGATGTACGGAGACCAGCAATACCACGAACTGCGCCATCCAAACTAGACTCTCCTTTTTCAATTCGTTTTACTGGACGAGTGCGTCTACCTCTCCTACATAAATAATATAGGGAGTTGCTGGCAACTGAATAAAAACCAATTGTGATGGTGTATAAATCTGAATTGCGTGTTATATTACATATATAAAATTTTCCTCATTTAACCTCTCTTTACAACTGCTTTTAATTATTTCCTGTTCTCAGAAAATTTCGAAGGTCTATGTACAGTACAGCCAAGAGAGAATGATAATAACATAAAACTCATAATGAATCGCCTTGCGTTGTCAATGGAAGAAAATCAAAGAATTCACACAATTTCTCAAACCTGCTAAAGTCTTTTCTGTATTGACACATGCTGTCAAAATTAATACTAAACAAGTTGCCCGCAATGAGTAAATCAATGCTGCGTAAACCAAGCTGATAAGCTTCTTCAATTTCGTTTTCGTGTCGACTTTCATAACGCCACCAACCTCCATGACGAGCCTAAACAATGTCGTTACTTGTAATACAATTATATTACAAGCAGCTTAAAAAAAGAAATATCTTAAATTATTTTATTTGAAAGGAATAATAGTTTTCTAGCGATATGATTTACAGCTCTTTGTAGAAAATGATCAAGATGCAACAGTAAAGCACCCACCGCGTAAAACCACTGCACCCTCTCATTCTTTTTCCGACTATCAATATTTTCCGCCACAACGGCTATTGATTCCCCAGGAGCAACTGCTCTGATTGTTGTTGGCTAAAAATAGTCAGATAATTAGCAAAGCTTCAATAATTGTTTGAATTAACTCCGATACAGAATAAGGATTATTTGGAATTCACGAGTGAAGAAAAAACAACGGACCTGATCAGCAAACGTTGTAAGTACTGGGTCAAGAAATATACTGCTAGGAATGCGCTTTCGACAGAGTGGACAAGCTCCATGTCTCAGGGCCACTCCTCGAATTTACTAGACATTAGAAACTCAACAAGTTAACCACTGAATAGATGTGAAAGTCCTCCCTAATGAATGATTATTGTAAATATAGTCGTGAATTTTGCAAAAAAGAACAATGAAACAACCTTTGATACATAAGAAACAATATTTGTGTCCACAGTCAGGTAATTCAATTTTGTGTGCAAATTCTTGATAGCAGATTGGGCATTCATCACACTTCTCCGGCCCTTGTTGCATTACGGAATCATCGATGTCAGCAATCGATCCTTCCATTCTTTCAATTCTACTTGTATTCCTTTCATAACTCATTTCAACTGAAATTTTTTGACCCAGCTATTCATTTTAGAATATGAATCTAAGTTTAATAATATTACAAAACGAACTATAATGAAGAGAATGTTGTATTAAAACATCAACATAATGAGGCACTGTTGCTATGAAGATTACTATTAATTAGTAGGAATTAAGAATGGAAACTCAAAAACAAAAAAAAATCAACTTATAGAACACACACTTCATCATAAAATATGAACCGCCTATTGTCGCTAACTTCCAGAATGTTACTTAGATAAAATTCCTGATAAATGCTGTTTCATTGCTTCATTAACAACTTCCCGTTATACTATCTTCAAGAGTATCTTTATCTGAAAATGAGATGTCGTCTTATTCCCATATAATAACTTGATCTTCCATTAAACGAAATCGCAAACCGCCAAGCAATCTGAAAGATAAGCAAATGTGCCACACAGCTTATTCCACCAAAAAAAAAACCAAAAGCTTTTGTGCTGCAATCTGTACAGCTGTCTCCTTCACTCCACCTTGTCCCCATTATCAGTTACTGTGTTCGAGAAGAGTTTCGCTCAGGACACGTTAGGATTGTGGTTTCTTAACATGTTAGTGGAAGGGCTTCACTGTATTAGGGCCCTATTGGGCTGATCTAATCTGGGGAGCGTCTCTTTTGTACTCTCAGGTTGTGCGTCTGAAAGGTTTTCCTCAGATAATACGTTCTGAAAGGCACTCATCAGATTGTGCGTTCTGAAAAAACTTCTTAGGTTGGTCATCGTAGACATAATATTAGACTGTTCTGGATGTATGTATTTTACATATGGGCACCTATTATTCTTATTTCAAGTCGAAAGAATGTTTTCTATTAAACATCTTGTAAAATCAATTTGAAAGCGTGAACTAATTCATACTTGTTGTGGTTTAAGTCTTCATTAACCAATACTCTAAACTCCAGATGTCACAAATTACGTACACTGTTATGGGACTTTCTGAAAATGTTTGCTGCATCTTAGCTGTTTTATTACAATACTTGTCGCTTATGAGAAATTAGAGCACCAGTCTCTCACATTGTGCATCTTCCTGTTATTCTTTCACACTTATTTCACGATGCATTCTTATTTTAAAATATTATGAATTGGTGTGTAAAGGATGTACTACATTCGCCATCGTATGCAACATCTTGTTTCAGCTCTGGATATTGAACATAGAAAAACTCGGAAAAGGAAGTAGTGAATTGTGGTATATTGGTGATCAGTGAAACATTATTATTTGTAAAAATGGTTAGAAAGCAATTTTGCCTCAATTTACACTGAAAAAAATGGTAGAACGTTGCATGCCAGATTTCTATGATAGTTAATTTTTTTTAGGCTGGCATACCTTATAAAACGGAGAAACCTATTACTCTTGACAATACCGAGCATCGCATTCGTATCACTCTCACTTCGCAAAACGTATACTCGCTGGAGAAAGGCATAATTTTCTTTTGATTTTTGCATTCTTGATAAAGTTTGATATAATTTGGTCTGATATTTTCACCGATGAAGTACTCGGTTTAAGAACCAAGAATAAAAAAAATCTTTTATTCAAAGGAAGTGATATAAAACTGAAATGAGTAGTAGAAATATAGGAAAAATTCAGAAGCAATAAATTAGGCAAGATTTTCGTTTTTTTCAGTCAGTAAAGATAGTTGTTAATATATTTTAGTGTTTTATGTGCATATCACATGGAGCATAAATTGTGGGGAATAGAATGTCAAGGTTGATGTTCCAGTGTAATTTACAGGAAGAAGTTTTCTAAATATACTCGAAAAATATTTTAGTTTGTGAGCAGCTTATCAATGGAGCAAAAGAAAAGAATCTTGTTGTGAAGGGACCAATTCGCATGCCCACGAAAATACTTCGTATCACAACGCGTAAAACACCGTGTGGTGAGGGCTCAAAAACTTGGGATCGCTTTCAGGTCTGTTTGTTTTCAGGCTTTTTCATTGAAGACTGAGACAGATTCCGGTTTTAATTCATTTTTTTGTTGCTTGCAGAAATTGAAACAGCTAAAATAAGGAAAAGAAATTAATTCTATAACTATTTTCAAATGTCGACTATTTGAAGTGTACTGTCAAGAATTTTTTCCACTTCAACTTGTTTTTTATTTAAGATGCGGATTCATAAACGTCTAATCAATATGCATAGCCCAAGCGATGTATTGAAACAGATTACAAGTATTTCGATCGAACCTGGTGTTGACGTAGAAGTTACTATCAACGATTCCTAATGAATTGGAAATGATAACTGTTATGGGATTGTAAAAGTTGGAAAGTAGACAGAGCTTTATTTATAACGTCTACATAGTAAATGTCATTGCTAGTTGTTGTTATGGAAAGAGTAATTTAAAGTTTATGTTTTTGGTCTTGTTTTTTAAAGCAATAAATGTGCCATTTTATACTTTTCCACTCTTATCATCTTCCCTTCCATTGTGATCAATAGAAAGGCCTTATTATAGTACGTTTGACATGGAAAAACATGGTGTTTGCGAGTTTCGGGGTCCTGCTGGCGGTTTTTTATGGCAAATACAGGAAAATAGTCGCTACATGATCAAACTGCATGGCTATGATCTCATAATAAAGACCATCTGTTACATGCTATGCATGCTGGTGAGTTTCATGGTGGTTACGTAATGCACGCATTAAACAAGTTAAAAAATATGGAACCTTTATATTATTTTGGAATGCTTCGAAGATATCGTGGGAATTATACTGAGGTCGGATTCGTCATTCCCGTTATTAAGTGCGGAGAGATCATTCCAAGGCTTTCCCGTGGATTTCAATTCAGTATTGCTATGTTGTGATTACATTATGATCTGAACCGTTTTCTTTGCATGCCATAGTTGTCATTTGCTTTCTATCTGGTTCTTAATTGTTTCTAGCTGCCTTTTGATTTCCGGCAAGTTCTTGAGCCGTGTGTCACCTTTATCCGTTGTAAGAAAAAGGAAACATCTATGACATGAAGGTTGCGGGATTAACAATGATAAGCACAAAGATGGTGCCACACAAAACAAACGAACACTTGAAATTTTCAGGTATTTATGTGGATTCACTGTTTATCAAAACACATCACAGCATTTTACCAATGAAAAACAATAATGAAACGTTCTGAGGAAATGCAAACAAACAATATTGCATGATGGTGGTTGAAGTCGATGGGTGTTTTCCTGTGAAATGGAGCGCGCCCTCGACATCCGAAAAAAATTAAAAATTTGGGATGACGTTGATTGAAGACGATCTCTGCTCCCAATTATATCACACCCGTGAATGACTGAATCTGCTTGTCTCTCACTTTTTCCCAATCTTTATACTTCCTCTTTTTTCGATGTTTTTTAGCGTAATTTTGCGATCAAAGGCCTTCACAAGTTTTTCCTTTCATTCAATATTTTGTTTAAAAATACGTCACATCCAACAATAGACAGTCTGAGAAAGATAGGGAAACGATGCTGTGGGAACCATTTCACAGCCCTATCATTCACGTGCCAACGTTTGTAAACGTATTTCAACAAATTACTACATATAATGTAACATGCTACTTTGCCTAACAATATCATGTAACACAAGTGCTCGGATGGGTAAATTATTAGGCGATTGAAGGATTAATCGATTCTGGCCACATAGATCACCTGTTGACTTTTCATCCTTCCCGAGCAATCCTTACTCTGTGAGTGTTACCGGGGTTAAGAGAAGCGTCCCTGTGCAACAGATTAAAAAGAAAGAGCAGGGAATTCGGATTAGCTTTCAGTACCGTACGTTTGCATCTCTACGTCTGATGTTTATTTGAATATGTGAGAGAAATGGGTAGGGAGAGAGAGTGTGAGTGCGGATTCTCTCTTTCCTCTGCGCTGGGAAGAAATGGGACGGCCCATATCGGATGGGTGGGGTGCCTACCTCGGATGAGTCTACACCCACGAGAGATAGTGCTGAGCAATGAAGAAATAGTGCCCTAACAGTCGCTCATCTCATTTATAGAATAATTTCGAAGAAACAGCCGCGACGCACTGTTCCTCCGCGCCGTACGCATAAGATGAGCGAGTTCGCTGGGGAGTGAATACCGCCGTTTAGTGGTGGTGACAGGCCGATGGAGCCGATGGGTTCCTTCGGAGGAACGGTCGGCCGTGGGCTGGGACTGAGAGAGAGAAGAAGGGCATACATCCAACGGGCTGTGTGCGGTCCGTTGATCCTTTCCTCATGGATTGATCGTCCCGCTGCTTCTATTAGATGGGGGACCTGAAATAAACCGAAAATTCACCGCAAACGGGAGATCCCTGGCTCGGATCGATTCACCTATGGTTTGTCATACGACCAGCTTTGCTATGGCTCTCTCCATCCATTACTTCCAATGTCTATCCATATGTGTGCATGCATGTCTGTCCGTCTGTCTGTATATTGATGAGTTGGGTGGGCTGGGCTGCATGCCGCTCCCTTTTCCACTGTTACTACCACTGATGTTGTGCTGCAATATGCCGAGCAGAGCAGTATAACGATGGACGACGGGAAGGATGCAGTACTGAGAGGCTCGGGGTATATATCTGTCGCCGAGGGTCGGGTGGTTGGCTTGCTTGTAGGCACGTATTCACCTCATTTATTTTTTAATCGTGAGTTGTGGCCGGTAAACATTTCGGAATTCTGGAAGTGAATAATATTTGATGGGATGTGAAGGGCAATAAATTGAAAGCGAGGAAAGGATTGCTTGATGACGGGAGGACGGACGAATACCTTACTGAAGATTTACAGGAAGAGTGAGAAGGAAACGGTCCATAATAATCATACCAACGAATATTTAAATTTTTCAGATGGCGAGGCGTTTCCTCCATTACAGGCCGTTGAAGCCTTCCTCTCGGGACACGACCAATAGCAAACCATCCGTAACAACACTGTAGTTGTTACTGTTGTCCCCAAGCCGAAACTTTTCCGAAAGTTCATCGTTTCTTTTCTCTATAACTGTTTATTGCTGTTTATTAACTATTCTTTTATCTGTATACCATACTATCACTAGAACCATCATTCATCACAATATTGTTGCTTCTCCTTCGTCGTTATCACTCCGGCATCGCTATCATTCTGCTCTATATCATGATTGGTACCTCCATTACCGCTTATTCATCAATTATCACTGCCATAGCATTATCACCGTGTTTTAAAAGTCGCCTTCTTTTCCATGTCCTGAAAAAGAGTTGGAAATAAAAAAAATGATTTTTTCTGACAAAAGCGGAAACTAACAGTTAAAGCAATTTATCAATCACATCAGTCATATTATTTATCAATTTGTCCATCATATTATTGCTACAAATGTAGTATTAATCTGAATTGAGACAAGATGACGCTACCCAAGATGTCTTATGTGACTTCTTTTTGTCCACATCTTTTTTAAATGTACTTTATAGCTGAAATCTACTTTATACGGATATAGTGAGCTGTTCCATCGTTATCAAATTTAACCTGAATTCTTTTTTACTTCGCATTCAGCCTTGATACTTGTACCATCTGAAAGAATATGCAAATTCGGGCCGTTATAAAAAAGTTGTAGGCATCTGTGCCACTTATGGGCAGTCCTCATTCTTGTCAATATTCACGACCTTCTTTGAATAATTGCACCTCGTCTGCTTGTTCTGCGGGACTTTTATCCGTCTTAATAGAAATTCCCATTTAATTTACCAACTGTTTATACACAGGCGTACCAAAATAGTGTATTGTATTTATTAGTGCATCGTTCTCTGTATTCAGAATCAACAATTTCGAATAGAATAATAATCGTTCACAACTCAAAAGTACTCTGAACTGTCTTATATTCACAGTTATAGGTATGTATGCATGTATAGTTCTACTATTTGGACGTCACAATTGTCTCTTGGACGATTCCGATACCAGAAAAGTGCAAGTGCCATTTTTTTATAAATGGAATTATTTATTTTATATGGCTAATTAAATTATTCATTTCATATCGCATGTAGCTTCGTTTTTCCCACTGATGTCGTTTGATGGTTACAAATATGTGTTCCATATGTGAACCGATCTCTAATATTAGTGTTGTAGAACTTCGAAAATTAGGAGATGGAAAATATCATGCGCTTATGACTTCATAGTTACATGTCGGAATGATGAAATCCTTTGATATTTTTTATGTTTACTAATGAGTTCCAGTCGGTAAACTTAACAGCTTTGGTTGATGTTTTCGCTGTTCTGATATAGAAAAAGTCGCCCTTACAACATTTAACGTCTGTGACATCTTATTTCTGAAATACATATTCTTTTCCGTATCTACACATAGTTTTCCGAAATCTAGAATAGGTTTTAGGTTGTTGTATTGACACGATTTTACTTTGGTGTGAAATCGTAATAAGCTGTGTAGAAATAAAACTACTTTAATAGTTACTTATATTATTGCTAGTACAGTGGAAATAGGTGAGGCATATTGTATCATAATATGCAGCAGTTACAAATAGTGAATTGATATTCTAGAAATCTTCTCATATAATTATCATATAAGAATCTTCTCATATAATTATAACGTTAGGTTTTCCTGAAGTAATGCGTGTGCAAAAGGCTTACGCATTTATTCTAATTAGGCAGTAAGCTGCAGAAGTTGACAGTTAATATAGAAAATGATCTCAAAAACTTTTTATAAATCTATGCAATTAGATGAAAAAAACATAAGGCTTAAGATTTGTATCTTTTAACACCGAATGTTTATTTTATCCAAAAGAAAATCCATCCGAAAATACAGTTACAAGTAATACATGTAATTTCATATTAGTTTCGTATCTTGCGGAATGGATTTAATAAGATCGGAAGTCATTGTTCAATAACGAATTTGATAACAGAGGATATTTGAGGATGGTGCTTATTCTTGATTAGGTTTTTGTAATACATTCAAACTTAAGCGTGATCATGTTAATTCTCATATGAGGTAGAATTATAAAGATATATAGATAAGGCTTCAAAGAAAACATCCTTTCGTTACTTGTTTGTGTTTCGCAATCAGCTGTTCTTAGTTATTTGTAGATGTTAAAATTTGTTTTTATTCTGATCTGTAGGTGGCTTCGTAACATCGATCTATATATGAACGGCTGTACGCTATCAGGACAGTCTGATACAAAGTATCAATAATTTCGTGCCTTTACGTAGTCCAAAATCTCCTACAATATACATCCATGGAGATCTCCAACATTTGTCGATGCCATTTGGGTAGAGCAATGTCGGAAATGTCGTGTGCATAGTGCTTTCAATTATTATTTCTTTATGCGTAGTTTTTGTTGGCACATTTTCAGAACTTAGGCGGAATGTTGTGTATTATGAATTCTCACTAGCACTGGCATTCCGTTTGGGGTTGATAAAAAGGAAATTGATATACGTATGTGTATATATATGTTAGCGCTTCGGTTCTTTCATTGTTACTATTTTTTGTGTGAATGTTAAAAAAACGAGTGCGGAATTATGGATGGAAAAAACAAGCATGCAACACCATGATTTGACGTCATGTGTGAAGGGTGGGAATATGTATTTCTCTTGGTTGAATATCAACCCGACGATGACTAATTGCTACAAGTCAATGTCAATGCTGGCTGTAAAGAAAATTACAGATTTTTTTTACTAGTGAGATTCTGTGCAGAGTTGGAAATGAATGAAATTGTTTAACATACTGTTGGGTTTTCATTTCCGGACCCAACAGATATACTTAAAGCTTGTTGGTCAACCTCGGTACTTTGTTTCCCGCAAGAAGTGACCGGTATTGCGACGAAAATGAAAAAGAAATGGTGCATAATTTGCCGTTATGCTATAAAGGGAGAGATTCTCAGAATTATGTGAAATTGTTTTAGTTTGAAGATCATTTTGTCTGTGGCGGAATATCTACCGTGGTTTCGTTCTTTTATACTCTCCAGGCACGATTTCCGTAAACATAAACGCAGTATGTAATGACTTCGTGCATGCATTAAAGATTCATCGGATTTTAGGCGCTGCGAAGTAAACTTACAGAAAAGGTTACGCAGCATCGACATAATACTGCTTCATTACTAATATGATACAACTGTTACTCTTTCATCATCGTTTCATTACAACTGGTTGATTTCTCAACTAACAACACTGGTACTCAAAACGGTCATTCACTGCAAACCGGGTTCAAGTATAGAAGTGGATGAAACTATCCGAATTTTGACTGAAGGGTCGGTCTGATTTATCATTGATTTATTTAGGTAGTCCTGAGTGTCTGTAGTAGTACTTTTGCATCCATATTTGTGGCATGATGTGCCGTAGCCAGCGGCAGTCTCTTGAAATAGATCATCGTAATCGTTGAATTATTTCAGTGCATCTCCTGATAAGGTTGGTGATTTAGACTGTGCGGCACTTCGGTCTGCCGAAATATTTTGGTTTTTCTGCAGAGTTCTTTCGATATCTAACCCTTGCAATTTCCATACTGAGATCACAAAAATAAATGTGATCGAGTCATGTGGTGGTAATTACAGAAATGGCAACAAATGCGACGTCTCAAGGTAGTTGTGCTGCTGAAACACCCAAATCGAGTAGTGAAATGTCACCTCAGGTAAAATGATCCTGCTTAATGCAAATAGAAAACAAGCAGCCTTAATTCAGTAATGAGGGATTTAAATTTCACTTCAGTACGATTTGTGAACGAAGTGTTTTTTTACCATTGGTTGTGAGCTGATGGAAAATAATATAGAAAGTTTTTGAGGCACGAAGAGTACTCATAAAATGATTAGAGTTGTGCAGGTTTTAGGTAGTAGTAGTAGTAGTAGCAGCTTGCATAGCTTCCAAAAAATTTTGAAGTTTTTGCGTTGTGAAATTGATGTTGATGATTAGAAAAAAGAGAATCTAAGGTATTTTTACCATTTTCATAACACTGAAGTTGTGCTTCAGAGATTTTGTAATTATCGATATTTTTACTTGAATTATTCCGATTTGCTTTTCAGCAGCAGCAGCAAAATCAAACGGCGACACCAACGCTGAACAATTTACTCCGTAAGTTCAAAGAATAGATTAGATACTGATTTATAAATTGAGGAGAATAGAGTTTCGGAATTTATTCATATTAGCAGGTTATGGATTATCAGGATTTCCATAAACCACGATAAAAGTTACTTTAAATATTTGTACAGCTTCAGGAACAGATGGTACTGCTACTCCTGGGACACCGGTGTACAACATGGCGCCACAAGGGCCTCAGCCGCAGAATGTACAACAGCAAATGCAAATACCACCACATATTCAACATATGCTAGTTCCACCGCAGTCTAACTTCTCGTCTCCGGTTTGTTTTAATAGTTTTAAACATTTCTTCAATGTTTGTGCTTCACTTTATGACAGCTGGATGAGTCTCATTAGCACAAGATAACCAATGGCTCTCAGTCAAAAATCAGAAATTCATTCCTAATATTTACAAAAATTTATCATTCTGTGAGCGACTAACAAATATATATATATATATGTATGTAGATGTATATATAAAGTGTGAAGAAATAGCATTTGAGATGACCATTTACTTCCTTCTTTATGCCCCAAAACGCCACTTCATTCATGCTCTACTACAATAACATTTCCATAAGGCATATGGCAGAAAAACAATTTGGATGACAAACTAGTTTTTGATTTTCGATTTTTTGGTTTCCATGTAATTTAACCTAGTGGAAAAAAATTTTTTCCTGCATTGTTTGAATAATCCTTATGCACTTCTCATAGGAATGGTTGGAGGGGGGAATAAGTTTTTTGCACTGATTTCAATTGAAAAAGTTTTTGCATGTTTATAGTATATATGTGTTCTCCTTTAAGACAGTGTGCTGGCGATGCCTACAGCTTTGTTATTTCTTTCCACTTCTTTTCGCTATGCTTAATGCAATTTGGAAATAAGAGAATAAGTGGATATACCATTCTGTAAAAATATTAATTCGAGACATCTATTCTAGCATGAAAATTTGGGATTAGATTAGTTCCTCATTAGCAGAATGCTGTCTGACGTAGGGATAGAGTATTAGTTAACTTTCCTATCCGCGGTCGGGAATTTCTTTTACCACACCGTTAGTGACTAAAGTGTAAGTAAAAATTGTACTGTACTGAATAGAATAATTTCGGTAGGTTTTTTTATAGGGACAGAGTGGCTTCTCCTATTTTAGCTTTATGGGTGACTTCTGATCTTTTCATGTTATTCCAAGTCTATGGGTTAGTCGTTAGATTTACTGTTGCTTTCCTATTTTGCTTTAGGAATTGGA